CAATTCGTGAAATCTTTGTATATAGCTTGTAAACCCTTGTAAATATGTTACTTATGCGCAGTCTACACACTTATACGTTCCTAGAATAGTGATCATATAGACTTTTGTATAACCCTCTAGGTATGAGCTACTTCCATGAACTTCGCTAGTTGCGCAGTCAGTATTTTGAATTGTTACCGCATTCCTGCTATTCAGAACACGTGTAGAGTTAATGCACGTTGAAAGTTCTATTTATCGACTTATGCTGTTGTTCATAATGCATGCGCATGCTCGCATAGTTACCAAAAGTTTGGACATATTGATATGTATATATATGTATATTATGCCATTCTAGAACTGATTTCTTTTTGTGTGTTCTTCACTTTTGTGCTTTTATTGTGGAACGTTTCCAATAATTAAAGAAATGAGCACATCTGAGTGGAAAACTTGTGGGATAATACTCATACATTCTGTGTTACAGTTTTCATATTTTCACGTCTTTCTGTTTCTGACCACTTCCTATGTTTAATGTTCGCTCACTTGGGATGTTGCATACATTTATGTACATAACGTTATGTAAAGAGTTTATTTTGAGAGTTTAGTCTAACCCAAGAGTATCAAATAAAAATGCATATAATCCCATCACCTGGAATTATTTCTTTGCCTCGGTGAGATCGTTCTAAATGTTTATGTGTTCAAGGAGTGCATGTGCAGATTACACTCGATTGCCCCGGCGCAGCGTAGTGTGCGCCGAGGAGTTTTCGGTGCCGCCGCGCTGTTCCGCGCAGTACCGAAAACCGAAAATATCCAACGTCGGCCGCGCGTGCAAATAAAAAAATAAAAAAATTTGGAGAGAAGCCAGAGAGAGAGGAGGAGGAGGGTACGCGAGGGTGTTACTAAGGTGGCGCCATCTCATGAGAGTGGTGTGCGAATTTGTCTAGCCCCAGACCTCCTTTCGCCATTTTGCCGCAAAGAGCTGTGTCTCTAGTTTCGCTTTACCACGGTGGAAGGTACAGCTGCACTCCCCTGGTCTGGTGGCGTAGTTTGCGGTGTCGGGACAGGCGTCAGCTGGTGGCGATGCAAAGAATTCTCCGGGGAGGCGAAGGGTGGTCGCGTAGACCAACTCGGCCGCGCTGCAGCCGACATCCGTCTTGAGTGACGTGCGGATGCCTAGCAGCACCAAGGGCAGCACCTCCACCCAGTCCTGTCGTTGATGGGCCTTTAGAGCAGCCTTCAACTGCCGATGTAACCGCTCCACCATGCCGTTACTCGCGGGGTGGTACGCTGTGGTTCGGATTCTTTTTGATCCCAGGAGCTTCATCAGTTCTGCGAAGAGATGAGACTCGAACTGTCTACCTCGGTCTGTGGTGATGGTTGACGGCGAGCCGAACCTCGAGATCCATTGCGGCACGAGCGCACGCGCCACGGTCTCCGCGGTGATGTCGGGCAGCGGTATCGCTTCCGGCCAGCGTGTAAACCGGTCGACACAAGTCAACAGGTAGGTTTGCCCCTGTGATGGCGGCAGCGGTCCGACGATACCTATGTGGATATTGTCGAACCGCGCGTCCGGGTGGTCGAAGGTTCCGAGGGGTGTTACCGTGTGGCGCTGAATTTTGGCACGCTGGCACTGTACGCAGGTGCGGGCCCACTGACGTACATCTTTGTTGATATTGGGCCACACACACCGGGATGTTAGCAGGTGTCGTGTGGTTTTGATGCCGGGGTAGGATAGTCCATGAAGGGCGTCGAAAATCTGCCTACGAAACTGGTGCGGCACGTACCGGCGCGGCGATCTTGTTGATGTGTCGCATATGACGTTGGTGGTACACATAGGTAGTGTGACCTCATCAAACACGAGGCGACCGGGGGATGTAGGGAGTTGTCGCAGTTCTGCGTCTTCACCCTGCGCTGCAGATAGTCGGTTGAAGTCGATGGCGGCTGGAGGTTCAACCGTGCAGGAACCTATGCGTGAGAGCGCGTCCGCTACGATGTTCTCAGCGCCGTGGATGTGCCGGATGTCATTCCTGAGCTCGGAGACGCTGGACATTTGCCGGAGCTCTCTCGGTGAATGGTTCCCCCCACCTGGTTTCAAAGACTGGAACCCGTGGACGAGAGGCTTGTGGTCCGTCAATATAAAAAATTGTCGTCCTTCCACCATGTGCTGGAAGTGTCGTAGGGCCAGATACACACCCAGAAGTTCACGACCGAATGTACTATAGCGCTGTTCTGTCGGTGTCAACTTCCGGGAGAAGAAGGAAAGTGGCTGCCAATGTCCGTTCACTTCCTGCTGCAGCACCGCACCAACAGCGATATACGATGCGTCGGTGACAACTGAGAGTGGAGTACCCTCTTTTGGGTGTGAAAGCATTGTGGTAGTGGCAAGGAGTTGACGGGCGCTATCAAATGCCGATGTGGTGCACTCGTCTCATGTGAGCTCGGTGGATGAGCTACTCCTGCCCGAGAGCATGCTGTGCAGCGGCGCGAGCTTGGCGGCGCAGCCCGGGAGAAACCGGCGGTAAAGGTTTACCAAACCAAGAAACTCACGGAGTTGCTTCTTCGTCGACAGCTTCGGGAACTCTTGAATGGCTTGTACCTTGATGGAGAGTGGACGGATTCCGGAAGAGTTTATCGTGTGCCCCAAAAAGTCGAGTTCCGTCTTGCCTAGGGCGCACTTGCTCACATTGACGACAAGCCCGTACTCGACGAGGCGAGTGAACAACAGTCCGAGGTGTGCGACGTGCTCTTCGGCAGATGTGCTTGCCACGAGTATATCGTCAGTGTAAACATAACAAAAAGGCAGGCCCCGCAACACCTGGTCCATGAATCGCTGGAACGTTTGCGCAGCGTTCTTCAAACCAAAGGGCATCCGGAGGAACTCGAACAATCCAAAGGGCGTGGTAACGGCTGTCTTAGGTATGTCCGAGGGCTCGACGGGGATCTGGTGGTACGCGCGTACCAAGTCGATCTTCGAGAACATGGTACTGCCATCGAGCGCTCCGGTGAAATCATGGATGTGCGGGATGGGGTAACGGTCATCTGATGTAATTCGATTGAGGGCTCTGTAATCTCCACATGGGCGCCAGTCCCCGGGGGTGGACTTGGGGACCATGTGGAGAGGCGAGGACCAGGAGCTCTCCGACTGGCGGACAATGCCCAGCTCGAGCATGTGCTCGAATTCTTGTCGGGCGATTCGTAGCTTGTCCGGTGGCAGTCGGCATGGGTGCACGTGAACAGGCGCCCCTGTAGTCTGAATGTGGTGTGTAACATTGTGTTTGACGGGGCGCTCGTCCAAGCTTACACGCGTCAACTCCGGGAACGCAGTGAGGAGACTGGAGTACGGCGTCTCATCCGCTGTAACCGCGAACGTGAGGCTGATGGAAGCTAGGGACGAGGCAATGCCTTGCACTGTCAGACTAGTTGTTTCGTCGCGGAGGCGTCTGCTCTTGACGTCGACCAGGAGTGCAAAATGCTTCAGAAAGTCAGGCCCAATAATCGCGTGGGGAACAGCCGCACATACGAAGACCCAGCGAAATGTGCGCCGCAATCCTAAGTCCAGTGTCAGTGAGCGCTCACCATGCGTTGCAATGGCCGTGTTGTTGACGGCCCGGAGCTGTGACGTGCTGGGGAGCCGGCGCTCTTCCGCGGTTGCTGGGATCACGCTGATTTCTGCTCCGGTGTCTATCAGGAAACGAAAACCAGTGATGCGGTCAGACACAAAAAACAAACTTCGGCGGCTGTCTTCGTTGGCGGGAGCACTGGCCACCGTGAAAGCTCTGCCCTGCCGTTTTCCGCTCGTGAGCAGGGCGGCTCACACTTGCGAGCAGCGGGACCGAACCGCTGGTGGTACCAACATTCCCCCGAGTTGGTGCGAGACGATGAGCGAGGCTTGCGCCGTGGTAGTTCCCGTGACGTGCTGCGTCTGCCGGGAACCTGGAGCTTCGCCATCATGTAGGCGGGACGACGGACTTCCGCTCGCAGCTCGCCCAGCTCGTCCGGAGTGCTTCTGCCCTGGACCGCTGAGATGGTTGTTGGTGCTGCCGAGACCTCTATGATTTTATCAGCCAGATCGGCGATCTTGGCGAGGCCAATGTCCCCTGCGGACGCGAGGACCATTCGCACATTGCTTGGCAACCACTGCAGAAACAACTCGCGGAGCAGCGACTGGTCAATCTTCGTCGCCTTTTCTCCTAGTAGCTGCTCTAGTCGGCGAAGCAGCTGGGTGGGGGTGCGGTCGCCCAGTTCCTCGGCTGTTAATAGCTGCCGGAGCCGCTTTTCCTCGGAAGCGCTTGTCCGACGAATAAGCTGAGCCTTGAGGGTGTTATATGCGTCCTCCGCTGGCGGTGAAATTAGGAGGTCCCGCACCTCTGTGGCGATGGCAGGCGATAGGCTTGACACGACATGGTGGAATTTCAACATGTCCGCTGTGATGCGCCGAGTCGCAAACTGGGACTCAACCTGCACAAACCACAGCACCGGGCCCGCCGGCCAGAAAGGAGGCAGCTTCAAGGTGACTGTAGAGATGCCAGAGGAAGTTGTCGCGTCGTTGTCCGTCATGACAAGGCTGGTTCCGTTGGTTGCGTTGCAGTTCGAAAACCGGGTCACCACTATGGCCTTCCCGACCGCTCTCGTGAGCGCGTCGGGTATGGACCAACAGAGTCGGGAAACCTAACTAAAATACTTTACTCTGCAAGGAACCAGAGCTTGGGCATGCGCAGTCATGCGGAACTCGCAGTGCGGTCTCTTCACCGTCAGGCCGGTCGTTCTTCTATATCTCGCGCAGGGCTGCCTCGAGCTCGGGTCCCTCGTCGTCCTTCTCTTCCTTTTTGAAGAATGCAGACACTTCAGAGCATAGTGTCTTGGAAGGCTCTGGTGGTCCTACAGGGTCGCACCGCCACAGTTGTAACGTTTACGGATTAGTCTTTATTATAGCCTACTCCAAACGAAAGCTTTCTGGATTCCAATAAATAACATCGTCAGTTGTGCGGAATGAAAACACAATGACGTTTTGTTTTATTTTTCAGAGGGAAGCAACCGCCTTACCTATTCATCCAAAACAGTTCTTGACGATGACGATATTACGCAGAATGCCTTCATGGTTCTCGTAGCCGGGTGAGTGAATATTCACTGGACGTAAGCATGCAACCTCCTTCACCGTGCAATGTAAAAGGCGCCACAAGGAAGGATTTACAGTGTGTTTTTGTTTTTGTAATTGCGAAAATAAACCAGGCCTTATCGAACGCTCAGTTTCTGCCCAGACGTAGCGCAAGAGATGCGAACCAGGTGCAAATGTTTCGAAACGAACCACTTTCTTATTCAAAAGCTATAAGTGCCTTTCAAAAACTTTTATTGCTAAAATGGTGGCCGCCAAATCCCACGACCACGTAAGACTGAATGGCGTAAATTACAACATACGGGCATCATTTTTCCTTTCAAAGATTCAGGGAATAGCGTACCACTTACGAATAACATTACGGTTAGTTCCTCAGGGTTGACATCGGGCCCGGGCCGCTAGCTCTACATTTTGCGCGGAAACTGAGCGCTTGGCAATGTGTATACTTGTGTTTGCAGTGAACCAAAAAAAAAAAAAAAAAAAGAAAAACACTCTACATTATTTGGAGGGACACGTTTTACAAAGAGCGACGCAGTCAGCAAAGTAAGGACAAACAAGCGATCGCCTGCTATTTTTTGTGTGCTCCACTTCTTAATCGTGTATTATTGTATTTGTTGAAAAGAGAGGTTGATCTTGTTTCGAGAGGGTCAGTACTCCACACTAAAAACGCCCGAGATCAAGGAGGTGCAGGTAGACATATAGAAATAAACATTAAACCCTATATCTTGACAAACACTTGAGCAGCATAGCACCAAAAGTGGGACTACGTTCTGTCGCTACTCAACGTGCAACAAAAGCCAAATATTCTTGATTACGTTTTTGTTACTTTTAATGTTTGGTCTTTTAGTCTTTTACTTTTTTTTTCTTTTTGCATCAAAGGTTTGAGACAACAAGCAACTCCATGACTCTCATCACTCACATGCTGGTGAACTACCCTGAGGTTCAGGAGAAAGTTCGGCGGGAAGTCCTCTCAGTCCTGGAAGAGGACGTAAGCACTTGTTTTTTCTACGTTCGAAATAAATACCAAACGTTTGATACAGCACAGCGAATGGCAAAACACAAATTTAAGCTCACGGGGTCCTTTGAGTCTGTCAGTTTGAGGGCACCTCGGTTGCAATATCTTGTTTCTCGCAAATGAGAATCTATAAGCAGAAATTTCCCTCAGAGTCATCCACGTAACATTTTGTCGCGACGTGCACTTAACGTACACTTGACTTCGTCAGATTCTCTGTCAGTCGCACCTTGTTGACATTTAATGTTAAGAAAGAAAGTTGACAAATGTTTCTTGCAGAGAATGAAGGGTAATCAAATTGCTTTCGAAATACAAACAAGTACAGCTATAAATAAGCGCGCAACGAAATTGATAAGAGTGTCTTTAAAGCTAGGCTAGTGCTAAGGCAAAAAATTGCAGTTTTTACTGAGGCGTTTGACAGGTACAAGTACCTTTCTTCAAACGTTATTTTTATAGTGGTTGAATAATAAAAGAAAAAAATCTTAAGAGAACTTGCGTTAGCGGAAAACATACTTATTTTATATTTTTTAAGATAACTGAATTATTTTTTAACTGTTTATAGCGCTTGATTTTTTTTAAATCTGGTGTAGTTTGGATATAGCTTTTTATATTTTGGATCACATGCACATGCAGAAAAAAAAACATGTTTTTGCGGACACCTGGGGGGTTCAACCACATTTAACGGACCCCAGTAAAGTAAGCTTATTCACTCCTTTTAAACCAGTAAGTGTAAGGAACAACAAAAAATGTGTGAAAGACGTATTTAAATGTGAAGTCAATAAAAATCGCAAGAACGCTATTTTAAAATGGCCAACAAAAGTTTTGTAACTTTGGTATAAATAAAAACAAATATATACACTCTAGCCTAACCTCGATAGGTCTATTTTACCTATCCTAAAATATATGCATGCCAAATTTGGTTCTGGTATTACAATAGCAAAAAGAAACATTGCTGTGTGCAATGTGCGAAGGTGCCCCAAAATTACATAAAGACAAGAACACGTTTAAACTTTACCATGGATCTGAAGCGACACTCTTTGACGGCGTGTCAAAAAAAGTTGTGCTAATGTTTTTCGTTAGAAATTGAAGCTGCAGAAGACTGCAATGGAGATAAGATGACCAGGACTGTTATGTTATGGCGGGCGAAGTCACAATTCGAAGAATCGCACAAACAAAAACGGCTCAAAATATGCATTTACCGTGTGCTCTTCAAATGCGCATTTATCTAGTTTTGCGATCATAATCGGTTCTTTTTCATTTATATGCATAATGTATGAAGATCAAAAAGTAATGAAACATCATAAAAGCCGATATTACTTTTTTTTCCCTCAATATTGCTGTTTATTGACCCGGATATGGCGCTTGAATCGGAGCATGGTGACATGTTTTAACGAGCCCCGCTCTGATTCATATTGCCGATAAACAATGTGAAGTACGAATGTGATACTCCACACTATTTTCCTTATGGCAGCTGCCTTGGGACACCAAGGATAAACATTTTGACTGCTTTCACTGGCGCATAAATATTTATCTCTTAACTTTTGCTTAAAGCAATGGAAAAGCAGCACGTGAGGACGTCGTGCATTAGTTGGTCTACCACTGATTGCATTGATCTGAGTTTAGTAGATGGTGCCAATGTGAATCTGAAATTTCTAGGATTGGTAGAGCTGAATACTGAGCGTTAAATATCCATCAAGTTTCTTCAAACTCCGGTACACATAAAATTAACATTCTTTACGGACGAAATCAACATCACCCATTGGTCAATTTAATACTCGTTTACAAAAATAAAGTTTCCGCTTTTTTATTTGTTTGTTTGTTTTTCATTTTATATAGCGAATAACCGCGTATGCGAATGTGACTCTTTTTTTTAAATTGATGCCATTTTGTTACAAACAAAAAGCGCCGAAAAAATACAGGGACACAGACGAAGAAAAACAGGATTAGGCGCTCCTGTTACGTCGAAAGCAAAGCATTCGTCAGTATACCAAAGTTTAATTGAAACATATTATATAACCTTTCTTACATCCGAGGCGTGTATTTAAGGTTCTTTTTTTTTCCTTCAGGAAGAAATTACCTATGGTACTATTCAGAAGTTGCCGTACCTACACTGCGTTGTGTGCGAAACAATGCGGATCTACCCTCCTGTATTTGGGTAAGTATAAATAACTGTCGCCACCAAGACAAATTTGCTGGCGCGTGCTGAACTTTCTTCAGAAACTAAAGCACGTGCATATGCGCCCCACTTCAAACTTATCACATTTTACACTATTGGCAAACATATTCGATGTAACGTGAGGATAGCTATTTGTACATAGCGTGTCAGACGGCACGTGAAATGACAAAATATTTAGCTCACTATACACGACAAGTCAAGTTTGCGTGATCTTCTGCTGATCACAAACAACACCCTACTCAGATCCCTCCTTTCTCAAGCAGTGCACAACGCTCTACGTTACACACGCAGCACACAGTAGTCACATACCTACGGGGTCCGAACACTTCATTTGTTATCACGAGAACCCTCTATGGTAGGGCTTGAAAGGAGCTTTACGGAAGCCTTCGATTTGCAACCGACGGTCTCGTCGGTTATCAATAAGTCGACTCTAGGTCTAGAGACCCAGTCGTACGGCCAGTGCACCATACAGAAGACGCGATGTTCCATGCAGACACGATGAGAGGATTCTCCGCGGGTACGCATCAACCATATTCGAAGTATGTCTGCTTTTTAATGCTTAGAACAATGTCTGCAGGCAGGTTTTGAATGACCAATGTGACCAGTGTTTAGACAGGGTGACTTCGGCCTAAGGTTTACAAGAGGTTCTTTTCTAAGTTCTTCCCTCCAGCTTTCTTCACCTCGTGCACTCTTTTCATAAATGTAGGAACACGTGATTCGCTATGACCACACTCCCGCATTATGGGAGAGAGATGGTTGTCTATGGTGAGTTAAACCTCGTCACGTCAAGCACCGAGGCTGCGCAGCCTGTGGCACTTACTTGGTGCTGCCGTGCACCGCGCCCTGACCGATAAGTTATCTTGGGAGTGTTAGTTAGATAGGACCGTGCGTTGCCGCGTAAAACTTCGCACGATAAAACATAAATGTCTGGAGTACCAACTGCGCGGTACTTCCTGAGGGGCGTGCACAAAGAGATTGCGTTGTATGAACCTAGCTTGAGTGTGACGTAACTTTATGAAATGTTTGCCACACCGCACGTTCAAGATTCCAACGTAGGCAACCCCAGACATATTGCCTTGCAGGTTCGTGACTCGGGAAGCTGCCGTGGACAAACAGTACGGCGAACTGAAGATTCCCGCCGGCACAGCAGTTATGAGCGCCGTCGACTACATCCACCACGACCCAGATAACTGGGAAGACCCTTATACGTTCGACCCGGACAGGTAACCGTTAACACGTCTCTTACGGATTCGAGTAACACTAGAAGGGTGCCCAATGGTTGAGGGAACAGAAGACAGATGCCTTTTTCTAGCACCCTACCTAAATACAGTGTAAGCCACCGGTATTTATGCGAACGAAGGACTGTTTAGGAATGACAAGCTCATTCAATGCCGGCTGCAGGAATCTGGCACTATAATATAAAGCAAAGGAATATATATAGATTTCCTTCATGGGTGTAGTATAGCGTCTGGCAATCTTTTTAATTTTTTTACTGCTGAACTTTTCGTTGGTTTCGTGTACACACGGGCAATCGCTGTAAACAGAAAAGAAGCACGGCTTAACCCGAGCATGCCGAAATAGAGTCGGACCACTGTGTCTTTTGCGGGTTGCGCTTGGGCCGGTACTCTGCCGCCCCCCCCCTTGGCCGATACCACAGTGGGTCAAAATTAGACATTCATAGAACTAAAACGAAGAAACGTCCAATAAAAATGCCAGAATGAAGAGAGGAAGACGTCAGAAAAATGTGAACAAACAGCAGTGTAGAGCACAGTGGAAGAAGAAATATGTCTAAACAAGGTCAGCCAAGGCCGCAAAATCTTCCTCAAGCTTTGCGCCTTTCCCAGCAGGGTCACTGTCTGTTTAGGGGCCTTCGCGCAGGCCCAGTCCCGCGCTGACATGGCTTGAAAACGTGCGCACGTATAAGGACGATTCATCGAGCTCACGCATCAAAATTTAATGCGCTTGCCAGAAATGCAAAGCGAACCTCTGACGCACTTGCTCCCTGGCGAGGTGGCACCGTTCAGGCACCTTTTTTGTTTTACCGTGGTGTGGCATTTAGGTGAATGCAAACACAGAAAAGAAAGATAAAATTAAAAATATACGAGAAAATTAAATTTTAGAAGTAAAGGAAAAACAAAGACCCACATTGGAATCGTTCTTTTTTTAATCAATAAATCTAACTTGATCCAAATAAAACTTTATAAGCTCTTATCCACTACGGTAAATATCATAATTAGGATTTTCAATAACGCAATGCGCAATACAATTCCTTCCGATAATTACAAGAACGAACCCCAAAACAAATGTTGCGAAGCGGACGACATGTTTGACGTAATAGCGTCCACCGTTTTCTCTCGGCAGGTTCCTTCCCGAGAACAAGCACAAGTTCAATCCCTTGGCCTGGCAGCCCTTCGGTGCGGGACCTCGCAACTGCATCGGCATGCGCTTCGCACAAATGGAGATTCGCTTCACCTTCGCCCACATCCTCAGAAAGTACCGCCTTGTGGCCACGGAAAATACCGAAAAGGTGCGTTCAGTCCATGCGCAATCATCTTTACGCACAACCATTAAGGATGATTCACGCAAATGAGATATTCCTCTCTTAGTTCCCCAGGAGGTAACAACGTCACGCCTTTGCTCGGAGCCGCGCTGACGTAGACATCCCGGGGAGATGGGGGAGCTCTTGTTCGAGCTGCACAAGCAGTTCCCGCCTTGGCGAGGAATCTCTTCGTGATTGACAGTATTTTGTTCCCGTAGCGCATAGCAAATTTGTTTGTTCTGCGGTATCCCGCGGAGCAAACAGATTTTTCTCTTCGGAATACGGGTGGTGGTATCGGGATGTTCTGATTGTGTATACGCTGTAGCGCTGTTGCGCACGTCGTCTGAGGCATCCGAAAACGTCTTCGGTATCAATCAATGACGTCCTTAGGCCGCTCCTCATGCAGCTCGTTTTCAATTTTAAGTTCTTTGTGTTGCATCCACGCAAAGAAAGATATATTTTTTTTTAACAGAAAGCAGTTGGTTGTTTTCTACATCTAACATCGCTGCTGCCATATTCGGGTATCGTCGGGTTTATGCACGCCTCCATTTTTCTACTCTGGTCACCGCGCACCGAGCCCCGTTGTCGAGAGTGCGACCGTTAAATGCGTCTGATAACTCTAACAGCCCTCTCGCCTCACCGCCCTTCGTGTAATGCTAAGACCGGGGAGCGAGTCCAGCTGGTTTCGCCGATCACTGATGTCACGGACATCCCTCCCCGAAAGCCTCCCCCATGGGAATATTCCTTTCTTAACACCACCTATACCGCGTTCCGCCATTGAAGGCCCATTCACACACTTACGTTTGCTTACGACAGAGTTATTGTTATATCTTGCGATGCGAGAATACACTGCCACATTGGCGCCATCTGTGAAGTGGCCCTGGAACTGAATTTTACAGGAGCGAAGGTATTGCGATATCTGCAAAATCAAATGTACGCACTAACTATGAGAAAGAGGTCGTTTAGAACCAGATTCGTGCCTATCTTCAATAGTCTACTCAGGATAATTTATATCAAATACTTTTTTAGTATTTTGGCATCTTGCAAATACATTTCGTCTAAAGTATTTGCTACTCTATCTTAATTACATTTCTCACACTATTGTACTCAGTATCTTAAAAACATTTTGAACTTTGAAAACTATTTGTCGCTGGAACAATCTAGGAAACTAGGGATCGTCAGACTTCGAGGCTTAGCTGAATCGATTTCAAATTTGGAACAAAAAAAAAAAAAACGAATCAAAATTTTGGCTACGTGCCTGGTTGGATCTTTAGGGAATGCGTTAGCATGACCCATGGGAAACGTCGGACACATCCCCTCTTGGGAAACGCTAACACTGACCCAGTAAAGAAGCCAAAGAAAAGTCAACAAAATTTAGAGCAAGCAAAAGATAAAGCCAAAGCAGAAAAGTGAAAGTGTCAGCGTCAAATGGAAGGTAGCCTTGCAGGTCGCGCGGGCGTTCCAAAAATGAACTATGGCGAGCATTTGTTTTCTGCTGCTGCGTGGGTGTGGGAGCGAGTTTCCAACATATTCATTTGACATTATGAAACTGCTTTTAATCAGTTGGGAACAAAGTCTATAGTCCAAAGAATGAAACCCTGTCTTCCGCTGATGTCACTTTTTTATTGTTGTCAGTGGAGACTTTCACCTTAAAAAAACACGGTGAGGACCAAATTTGTAAATTTAGTAATATCACGGAAAAAGGATTTCCCGAATATTCGATTATTATTTCAGCGATGTTTGTTGGTGTGTTTAGCAAATTTTCGGGCCAATCAGGGACTATGAGGAAAACGTCGAAGTGCCCAAGGAAAAGAAATGTTTGGACTTATCATTTTGTTTAGATATTGTCTCTATTGTGCCGGCGGCCCAGAAACATTAGCCTAGACTAGTTTTGCTTGGCTGCCATCAAAGAAGTCAAGAAAACACAAATTTTAAAACGAATTAACAGATTTCAAAATTGCGTCTGGTGGCAGTCTATGAAGCCACGTTTGAATGCCGCCACGTCATGAGCTCCTAAGATGCAGCGCCAGTTCGCGGCAGTATGGCTCGCTCGTTGAGTTAATTAGCCCTGAATGTGACTTGGGGGGGACGATAACGCGTTTACAACGTTGTATCGTTTAAAGCTTTTATAGCGGAGCTGTTAAGGGCTAGGTTCCCCAGGATCGTGTCCACCGGCAAAGAAATTGTAAAACCAAACTCTGAGCAGCTACCGCCATCTATGAGCGACGGCGGCAACCAGACAACTGGTTGCCGCCGTCGCTCATACATTGCGCTAACCTTTCTTCGGAAGCACTGTTCGGAGGAAGAGGAGCGGTTCGAAACGAGCGGTGATGTGCGCAGCAGCGCGAATGGATCCGCATCGTCGCAAGGCCGCTATCGCCTAAAGTTCGACTGCGTCGAGCGCTTCGGATTCCCTTGCGAAGGAAGAGCAGATCGCTTGCCTGGAAAGCCACCGCCGAGAACAGAAGCTAAAGCTCCGGTGCTCTTCCATCTTCACCAGAGTGGAAAGGCTGAAATTGTTTCATAGTGCATCCGCAACGTGCAGTCCACACCATCGAAATCGCCGTTCTTTGCAGACGTTAGATAGGAGCTTAATTTGAGGATGAGGGACCTCTGCCAGGCCAAACATACCAATCCGCCCCTGGATACGCTGTGGGTAGAGCGCGCAGATATGGCGCCCAGTGAGTACCTTATATGCATAGCTTGCCGGTGTCGCCATTGCTGGGTACTGACGGTTATTTCTACTCACTGGTTCCTTAGAGCTACTACTTCTGCGGTGCGAAACTAATACGGCGAACCGAACGCTCGTGACACGTAAAAGACCTGCATGACCGCGAATGACGGTACGGGCCATTTATGTAGGCATGGGGCGTACAGTCCTCGGATGTTACTAGTGGGCGAGATTTTCATTCGTTGGCACCACCGAGTGGCAAGGTTCGCAACTACAGTGCCCTTGACCGTGCATTAGTTATTGACGTCACGAGCGCGATACGGATTGCGCTTCTCGCTGGTCGACTTTGAAGCGAGAGGTAGAATCTTCGCGCTCACCCGATTTCGTGTTTCCGGGCACCCGCTTTAAGGGGTTGCCGAACGAAACATTTCAGTATCCACAATATGTGGCGCACGATCGTTCCCCGAGACAGCAGCCGCCGGTGTGCGCGAACACTCGCAACGAAATTAACGTTATAGGATCCCCTTTTCTCGCTTAAGGTAACAATGGAATGTGTGAGCTCTGTAGAAAAAGAGAATAAATGCAGGTTTTTCATCTCCACAGTGGGATCTGGTGTAAACGGTAGGTGAATAATTGGTTTAAAAAGCACGTAGCTTTCACTTGTTGGAATGAAATGCCTGTCTTTATTTTCCTTTCTCCCAGATATTATACATTTCACTGTCATCTTAAGCGTGAAGGGAGGAATATGACGTCAATTTCGTTGCGTGTAGAGATCGTGCGCCACTTTTTATGGACACTAAAATATTTGGTTCAGTATCCCATTAAGTAAAACGGGATAAAGTAATAAAACGTAATAAGTAACCGCAGTATCGTCAGTTTTTGTTTTTTTTCATTCAGTATAACTATTTCTTTTCTTCAAGTGACATTGGATACGCAAAATTGATCGTCCCGTCAGTGAAACAGTAAAGTTTTAATCACAAATAACGTCCCATTCTTCACTGTGGAAGGAGCAAATAAAATATTAATTTTTTTTCTTTTCCAGGATCCACCAAAAATCGACATGAATCCTCTCGTGCTCCGGATCAAGAATGGAGTGAATGTGAAGGCAGTGCCGCTTTAAAGCGACGTTCCGCTTGACAACAAAATTTCATAATTCATTCCAACATTGGAATAATACATGTCACCAACTCGTATATATAAAGCTCACAAGCGTTTTAGAATAAAGATTGTTGCTTCTGCTTATTTTTTTAATATAGTCAATAAAAACGTCGCATGTTTTCTACAAAATATGTTTCTGTTGTTTCAGTCAGAAATATTTCGTTTGCTGATTAATGCGCAGTACAATGTGCAATATAGTACACTATTTTGTTTTACTTTTGCTTCTTTTAGCACACTTTTAGTAACTCATGTTATATAGTTCGGTTGGTGCTGAATATTGTCAAATTACATTGGAGAGACATGCTTCCACGCGTTATGTTCCACCAAGTAATTTTTTGTGAACAAGTATGCTCTCTGAGGTTTCGCTGTAGATTTTCCACCAAGTGCAGGGTTGCATAGCAGTTTGTATTTTTTTACTTGTCCGTTGTCACCGATACCTTTGTCAGTTATGTGCTACCAACATAGCGAAGTGCGCGTTCTGACAAAATTCACTAAAAGATTTGTGGAAACAAATAGCCCTATGCACGCGCTGTTGTTATACATAAACGCAATAAAAACACTTTATTAACCACATTATTAAATATATTTCGGTGTTTGAGGTGAAGGAAGAAAGGAGGGTTGTGACAAGAATGCATCATAACCTCGCCGACAAGCCCAAGGTTTTGTGGTTAGATAAAACAATCACTCTACCGATTCACGAAACCACCTTGTAGACATATTTTGTTTCTTGTGTGTGTGCGTGTTTTGTGAGTTCACCTGCATTTTTTCTGAACGGGAGTCCTGAAAACAAAAAGTAAAACACAAACTTGTCGATTTAAAAAAAAGGCTTCCGAAGAAAAAATAACACAAAGAAAGTAACCACTTTCTTGACACGTAAGAATCTGTCTTTTATATTTGAAATAACCAAAATCATCGCCAAGTGATGCTGTCACTATTTTAATTAATGTACTTGTAATTTTTAGTTTAGCTCTGCATTGGCTTATTAAAACACTCAGTTGGAAAACTCGACCTTGAAACCCTGACCACCCCCTTCCACCGAGACCAAACTAAATACGATAACATCGCCGCCTTTTAGCGACAAGTCAAAACATGAGAGTTGATTTATACAGCTACTACGAAATGGCACTGCTACATGGCGCCACCGGCCCTTGCGCGACTCGACCTGAACGAATACGTGCAGCCGTGCAGCTTCCCGCAGTGGCCGCTGCGGGAGAAATGGCGGCGTCGTGATCGCTTTTAGTTCGGTTCTCAAGTACCGAATCGGAGCCACTTTTACAAGGAAATTTTCGTGTCGTTGGCGTTGTAAGCAAAAAACTCTAGGCGAACAATTGAAGGCCAAACAGCATATCTCCTTTGAAATGAGGCATACAGCATACAGCTCAGTATCCGTTTCAGTAAAGAAAACAACAAAGAAAACCCCAAAACAAGCATCAAAACCACATGATGGATGATAAGGCGCGTGTGAACAATAGGAACACCCTCCCTCGCGTTCCAGTCAAGATTAGATTTGCAGCTGCTTCGAAAGGGGTTGGCATCATTCGAAGCCCTCATGTGAAGTACAAACCGCATAATGTATGATAACGACTCCTGCGAAAAATGCGAAGCACGTTCCTCCTCCCCGCGTGTGTTTTCGTGTCGGCGTTTTCACGAAAGAAATACTTGCGAAAATTCAAGCGAAAAGTGCAACCACCACGCATACAACCTACAGCACAGCATACAACATACAGCGCAGCAATAAAGGTTAAGCAAAAAACAAGCATCCTAACCATATAATGAATAATAAGGAGTACCTGAAAACAATGGAAAGCGCGTAGCGCTCACCGCATACATTCCCGGTGAAGGTTACTGTCGCCCAAGCTGCCGCGGCGAAGGGCAGCTTGCGGCGTGGGGACTGACGTCATTAGCCTTTTATATATAAAAGAAGAGCCCGCCTATACCCCGTTTCACCTTACATCCGGACGGAGCGGATACTGCGAGCTATCTTAGCCAATCCGTTCTGTAGACGTGGCCCGTGATACGCTTTCCGCGCGTTGCTGTGCCCCCTCTCTAAGATCACGTGACACTTACACGGCCTTCGATTGGCTCCGATGGCTCGTAACATCCGCTGCGCTTAAACGTAAGATCAAGCGGAGTATAGCAACTGATTTTATTGTTGCTGCAGCACCGCGATGAATAGGCCATGCATAGTTAGGACTCCCGGGGAGCAGCGTGAATACTAGGAGTGGCAAAGGGAAAAGAAACGGTAATACCACAGGCGGCGGCGCGCTGCGACTGGCGGCGGCATTTCGTATAATGCAGTCGGCAATCGTTGCAGGTGATACCACAGCTTCGCTCACCAACCACCTGCACAGTGTAAATTAAAGCCCCCACGTTGTTTTTTTTTTTTTTTTTTTTGCTGTTGTTTATATTAAATTTGATTCGGCTTGATTCTATTTTCGCTTTTTTTTTTATCTTCTTTAACAAGTGATCAAAATCGCAGCCACGTTCTCGGAACGGCAAAACGCAATTTCCGCAGCTCGGCTTTGCTGCAAAGACTATACTGCTTATTTTTGTGTTAAAACGCAGCGGATAATTTTATTTTGATTTCGAACACTCGTACTTGGCTACATATTGCATTTTCTGAATTTTGTAATGATGGCAACTTACATTCTTTTGTCCGATCGTTAGCGGTGCAGCGGTATTTCCAATATCCGATGTGTAAAGCCCGGGCACTATAGGCCGTGGAAAACGGAACTAACTCTTTATGTGGCCAGACCGGGGTGCTTTTCGTGGTTTGCGGTTTTCGAACCAGAGCCTTGCAGTACCTTGAAGCAAAAAAATAGAGTTTCTGCCGGCTCTGCTTGCCGCTTCACCTATTGTGGCGGCCCACGCGATCGTACTGGTTGATCCAGTCTTCAACGTTCTCATAGAACTCGCCGAGCAAGAGAGCAGGTGTCCGCTGAGCGACGGACAGGACGACGACGGGCGGGTTGTTCATCGTCGGGATCTTCTACTTCAGGTTCTCGGGCAAGAGACCAAATTCGGGTGACTGATCTCTGGTACTACGGGTTGTTCGGGCTTCGGCGTCTTCGGCGAAGGGTAGCCTTCCAGGAATGAGCACCTCACTTGGTTGGGGTGTCTTAGGAGAGGTACACTTTACGGGCATAGAATGCAATAACTTCTCTTCCACCAAGATATCACGAATGACAAATTATAATGCAACGAATAACTGAAGAAACTAAAGGATTAATGGGGCGAACTTGTGCCCAAAACAAAATAGAGAAAGGCCAGCGTCGCAGGCGTCGATGTGGGCAAAACAGCAGGATCGAACGCTGGAGCGAGACTGACCTCGGCTTGCCACGCGTGGAGCACCTTTTGTCGACGCGTCGGTTTCTGGAAAATTCGGTCTAGAACGTTCGGCGCGTAGAACATTCGTAAATTAATCAGATGGAAAGGTTTTCGAACTTACGAGGTCGCCATGCTGAAAGAATAAATAAAAGATCATTCCGCGCTCTGGAATCGAACCGGGATCCTCCGCGCGACTGCCAAGCACGGTAACCATTCGGCCACGCAAACTTTTTTTTTTTTTTTATTACCAGGTTTGCATAAAACTACAGAATAGATGCGAAGAACTGTATGTTGGGAACGGTAATAGACAAGCGTTACACAACACACATCTAAAAAGTTGAGTGAAATCTAGCCTGTCTTGCTAGAGTAAGTGAAGTTAAAAGGGTTTTAAAGTTGCCAGCTCATCCAGAACAGGCAGCCACTCAAGGTCACTATTAATCTTTTTGTAGCATTCCCGGAGGCGTTTAAAGCTGTCAATGAAATACTCGCGGACAGTGCGGGCGTTTACGTCTGCATGACGTACCGCCATTCGACTTTTCCATATACTGTGGAGCCCCAGGAGAAGGATTGTGTCATATGGTACCGGTTCACTGTCTGCCGTTAGAAAACGAATCCCATACGGTGTTAACGGTAGTTCTTTTTTGATTGTGCGCTGGAGCACGTCCCAGTATAGCAAAGCATCCCAACAATCTAAAAAGACATGCTCGATACTTTCTGGCTGCTTGCATAATTGGCAGTTTACTGTCCAGTACAAATTTATTCCTTTAGCTTCTAAAAAAGTTTTTATGGGTAGTGTTTCACTGTGTAATTTAAAAAAGAAAGTTTTAACCCCAGGGGGAACCAACGCTTTTTTAACACGTTTTAGCCCGTCCTGTCCGGGGGCTCCAGCGTATATGGACCTATACCGTGGCAAGGGCATTAACACATCCACCAAATCTCGCGTCAACCTTTTGCGCGATACAACAGACAAATAATCCCGAGAAAACCGTACAAAAAGGAAACGACATGATGATACAACTTCTCTCAAAAAACGCGATAAAGTTCCGTAACGAACACGGCATGACAAAACCACATAACTGGGCAACACATCAAAGAGCTTTGTTTGTATTACCAGGCGCAGACATGGGTCAGATTGATCACGCACAAACATAAATTGTGTAACGAGTTGACGGATGAAGAAGTGACACAGACCAACACCATTATCTCGGGGTCGAAGGAAAAGATTGGCTCTACTAGTCCGTTCCCACTGAGACGCCCAAATGAATACTGCAAACACCCGGTGAATTCGCTGAATATTGACTCTGGAACAATGTAGGACTTGAAGAACGTACCATAGTTTCGACATAAAGAACAAGTTACAAACTGTCGCACGTACGAAGATCGACAATTCTTTCGTTACCCACTTTTCCGCGGTTGCCTTCAGTTGATTAGTTTCCTCCCGCCAATAGTCGTTATTTTCACGATAATGTTTTAACGGGACACCCAGATACTTTTGGGGTTCCCGAGCCCATTGGATATTTTCAAAAAAGTTTGGCGCAGAAGCCCACTCTCCGTGCCATAGCCCGTAACACTTCGACCAGTTGACCGCACACGCTGTGACGTCACAAAACCGCTTAGTCGCTTCCACAGCCCTTGTGACGCTTCTAGAGTGAACAAAAAACAGCTATATCGTCTGCATATGTTAAAATTTTTACTTTGCACTCGTGTAAAGTGAAACCCCTAATGTCCTTACATTGAAT